CGTCAATTTTATGTCCTGTCTCTGTAATATGTTTCACAATAGAGGAGCTATGTCTCCTGTTCTGGGGATTGTGTTTTCTTCTGAGGTCAGCTCTTACTTGCAGAGATCGATGAGTCCTTCCTCTTATGTATGTGTCCATATTTACATTTAAACTGGTAAATACAGTGGGATGTGATGTCATTTTTCGCACGTTCGAAGGGCTTAGATAGATATATTGGCTTTACATTCTCAATTATAATGATATTATTCATATGAACTGTGATCAAGATTTGACCGGATAGTTGCAAAATAATTGAGCGCTGAGTGAGAAGCAAATAAATATAATTTTATAATGATATTAGCTGCGTAGAAAGTCTTTAACAGCAGCGTTATCAAGCTGTTTTGATGCCTCATATAGGTTAGTTTGATGTACACGTCTTTCTTAGGAGCGAGTTGGAGAGTGGGTCTTGGTGTTCTGACTACTTCATATCTCCTGTCTGGGTAATTGTTATCAACCAGAGTTTGTGTCAACTTTCTTTCTTCTTCATCAAGTGTGAATGTATTTGCGCAACACATTTCGAACAATCTGATCACACACGGACTTGTCTTAGGAATATATTTCAAATTAATAAAGAGGTGGGAAAATAGACTTAGGTCAAGTTAAAAGCACATATATTACAGTAGAGCCAGAGATGAGGATCTAACTGAAAAGTAAATAGTTCTTCGCTCAATCTTTCTCTTTTCTAAATGTCTTTTCTATATTGAAATCCATAACAGTTAGTTTAAGCCAGCCACTTAGGGAGGTGTAGACTTCCTTACTGGCTGGTTGGTTGGGATCCTTGGGATGGTAAGAACTAAACCAATGATGGCGGCCTTTCGACGCGCACCCTGTCAAAAAGGGTCAAGGAACACTATCCAGCGTGGTTGCAGAAAGGAAGTAGTGGCTGTATAAGTAGTGCAATAATCGAACATCTCGTCATCACTGGTCACTGCATCTCAACAAACACCTCCTGATTCAAAGTAATCTACAAAGTGAAGAACAACCTGCCAAAGACAATACGTTTCCGTCTTCTTTGCATTGCAGAATCCCTAGCCATTCAGTTACAAGAACCAGAAATATGCATACAAAAGAAAATTATTCAACCATTTCTACTATGATGGTAACAACTCTGTTGATTTGACTTAACTAATGCTTGCTTGCTTGTTTTTCTAACTACTTATAACTCTTCCGTAATTCCATATTTTATTTCGTTTCCATATGCACCTTGAGCACAACTCTTTCATCAAACTATTCATGTTGTTGTTACGTAACTCTTTTTTAACAATCGTTTGTGACAACTCATCACTTTTGTTACTACAGTCTTATATCAACATCCAATCCATCTGAACTTTCTAGCTGTATTTTCGTTTGACAAATTTAATGTACACACACATACAAAATAACCATGTATATTTGTGATTGTACAGCTTTGAAAATGAATTCGCTGCCGAAAACAGACTCTTCGCTGAACTACTGGTTTTCTGTCTACTAATATCATGTGTCTAATCTATGATGTTGGTGCTGAGTTCCAGTGGTCAAGATGGTCTACCATTACGGTACACTCTGAATTGATGTGAGATGTCTGGGAGCAATACGCAGGAAGCCTTTGCGTATATAAATATTTTAGGCATGTTTATTACTTATCCTCAGCAAGGTGCATCTGAGACACCGAAGTTAAACTTTAAGCACCGAAGGAATCCGCCGCTCAGTCAGAAAGTTAAGGAAAACAGGCAAATAACAATATAATCACGATTAAAATATATGTTCAGAAGAGGATTTCATCATGAGCTGACATTGGTTAGAGAACCATTGCCGAAGACATTGGCTAGGGTTCGCGCTATGTCGTGATTTGGCACAAGTTAGAATTCATGCACTGGTCATCGGATCGGGTCTCAGTGAGTGGCTCAATGGTCTACGAGTTAACTCGCCTTGTAACCAGAAGGTTGTGTGTTCGAACCCCGGTGCAGTGGGTGCGTACCGCTGAAGAGTCCCAAACTAGGACGGAGAAAACAGCTGTCCAGTACTCCATGGTAGGTTTTCCAATGGTTCTCTAACCAATGTCAGCTCATGATGAAATCCTGTAATCAATCAATCAAATCCCTACAAACCAACACTTAGATGTTCAGTAGAGTGTGTTGTGATATTCAATAAGATAGCTGGTAAGTTTTACATTAGGTTTGGGCTGTCCTTAAGGACAAATTAGTGTTAACTTAACCCAATAAGGAAGACATTTGGATTGGTTCGAATTGGCATTAGGGATATTTTTCTTTGTGTTAGGCTTAGGTCAAGGATAGATTAGGGTTAGAGATAGAAGACTTAAAAGCATACATGCATAGAATATGGTTTAATTACCCTAAAACAAAACTGAAAGGCATTTGTGTCCCATGTCAGAGAATGGCATCCTGTGATGAAACAGTTTCATGCCTTTTTATTTATTATTTTTCATAAATATATATTTGCGCATCAGTGGCACAGCGGTTAGGAAACTCGCCAACTATGCACATGGTCCGCAGTCCGATCCCCGGCGCAAACGACGCACTCCTTTACCTCACTAAGCCAAAAATAAAGCAGGTAAAGAGAAAAGGTTGGGCATGAGGTGGCTAGCAACCCCATCCTGTGAAAATAAACACCACTGCTACAGAAACTTCAAGCCTCTAGCTTGAACCACCCTATATTCCACTGAGAACGTGAAAGAATAATAAGTAAAATAAATAAAAATAAATATATATGTATTTTTCACGACGAAAACTACTTTTTCATGTGATTGGTACACTCAAGGTCATTTGTGAGTTGATACTTTTTGGTGCTTAAAGTTTAAATTCACCTTCACAAAATCAGCAGTAGTGATATCCTGTCAAAGGTTTCAAGTCGTGCTATCAGGTGATGCAGTCATCGATGTTATCACTGAACTATTCAGGGTAACGACTCACCTCCGATGTGACTGCGATAGATAAATTGACCTTAGTATTGTGATTAATATTCCTTTCAGTTCCGAGTAGAACACAGAGCTTGAAAAACGCATCGCCACTTTATTCTATTTTTTGCTGTCCTCTTCAGCTGGGTCCATGATTGCCCGTAATAATCTCTCATCTCCTCGTACGATCTCCTCCAGTTCATAGAATGTCAATCAAACATCTACCTCAACAACTTCATCGACTTCGAAAAGACCTTTGATAGACAGAGTTGACGGAGAAGTAATTTGGAAACTGCTTCGACACTACGGCGTGCAGTGCCCAAGTCTTTATCAACGTCATTCAACACCTGGCTATGTGACATTGGCAAGGGTCCGCTGATCCATAACGGAAAACTCACCAAGGCGTTCAAAGTGAATACAGGAGTAAGACAAGTTGGCTGGCTGACTGCCTATTATCACGGATGATATTCTTAATTGTGGTGGACTGGATTATGCGTCAGATTGTGGGGAGCGAGAAGTCAGGAATACGCTGGACCACCGATAATAATACTCTAGAAGATATGGATTTCACGTGTGGATGATTCATGTCTGATATCGATCACACAAACTCGAAGACTTACAGGCGAAAACCAACAAACTGGCTGAAGAGCCTGGCTAGCAACGAAGACAGGACTCTAGGTGAACATAGAGAAAACGGACGGAGGTGATGAAGATAACCAACCAACAGCAACAGTAACAACAGCCAGCACCAATCACCATCAACAGGAGAGATTTGAAAGAGGTTACTTCCTGCCTTCACTTATCTGGTCATGAATCGCGGTTCCAACCTCAGGCAGTCGGACAGCACGGATGAAGATGTCAGAGCAGGCTAGGTGGCCAGAATCGGAAAGGCGAGACACGCCTTCATCAACCTGAAACCAATTCGCAAATCGTCTGCATTGACTCAGTCAGCATAGAGGACAAGATTCGGATCTCCAACAGAAATGTGAAGTCAGTCAGTTCTTCTATACAGGTCAGGAACTTTGCCAGCAGGTCAAGTAAAGGATTTCCGACAGCCAGTTGCAGACTTCACTGGCTCCATAGTGAGGATCAAATGGTCAGCCAGAAAGAATGGGCAACAAGAGCAACTAAGATCCGATTGCTCAACAAATATATGGAAGAAAATGGAGATGGATCGGGCATACGCTGAGGAGGCTGTCGAATGATATCGCACGTCAGGCCATTGCTCAGTTGGTATCCCAATAAGTAACGACAAGTGGGTCATCACATTGAGGGTGACATGGAGGAGATCGTGCGAGGAGATGAGAGCTTATGGGCAGTGGTCGACCCAGATGAAGAGGGCAGCAGAAGATAGAAGGAAGGAAGCTACTTGACTGACTGGTTATTGCAGTGTAGTCTACACACTGATGTCAGATGACTGGAAGGGACAATTAATCAATAGAAAACCCTAGATCTGTCTGATGACCCATAAATGCCCCCGATCGATGAGTCTGACTTGGAAATAGTTGTTAGGTATTCTGGAAGACCAGATCACTTCGTCTTAATAAGTCAAAAACAATACATAGGTTTACAAAACTCGTTTATGTTGCCAACAGTTAGATTTCGATGCCCTCTCCCTGATTCTAATCCTGAGTTTTGTTTTAAACTTCACAAATAATCCTTCTTTTCATTTTTGACATTCCACGTGAAACATAGGGTATCACATTTTGAAGCTTTAATAGTTGTGTTATTTGTACATGTAGGGTTGCTAGGTCGACACACCTCATTTGCCACTTTTCCCGGCTTACTAACAGACAGTAAACTAACGTAGATTTTGGAGTAAGTCGGTAGGAAATCGGACACTGACCTTTTGCATAATTTATGAGCATTCCACCGTTGAATCACCGGCTCTATGTGACGTATTACACAAACTATTCTATTCAACGATGGAATTACATCCTACGACGGAATACAAAGTTCAATTTTTCCTTTATTGACTGCTTACTACTCACAAGTAGTTTACGTTATTAATAAAAATTTATTCAAATACACACAAAAAATCACTGAACAAATTATTTTCTTACTTACACTATTGTCGTATGAAAATCCCACATAGTAAAGTATACCAATCCATACTAACAGGGCACCAATTCCCATTGAATATGTGAGTGGTTCATATTTCATTTGAATCTATAGTATATATACATACATTGAATAGAAATTAAATATTTTAAAAAGAATGTGAGATTACAACAAACTATCGTAATGAATTGTATTCAAGTATGTCAAATAGCACACCGGCTGTTGTGCCAAATCGATTCCAATATTAAAACACAACGCATACTTCAAAGAACATTATTTGCTATTTTCAGTAAATGCACAAAAAAGCAGTATTACAAGAGTACAACATTCAATTGGCCGTCTAGTAATGAGTTGGCTGACCTTGCACACAAATCACAGTAAAATAAATGAATTTCTGTCATTTCGTTCCCCCTCCTCCTTCACCTGCTGATATCTTCAACGCCCATCAACAAACAGTTTCAAAAAAAATTGAATAAAATTAAATTTTGGCAGTACTGGACAGCTGTTTCCTACGTCCTAGTGCTTGGGACTCTTCAGCTGTGCGTACCTATTGCACTAAGGTTCGAACAAACGACCTTCTGGTTACAAGGCGAGCTAGGTCGTAGACCATTGAGCCACTGGGACCCGATCTAATGGCCAGCCTATGAATTCTAACTTCTGACAATTCACGACATAGCGCGACCATTTCGCAATGTCTTCTACGATGAGTTACTGCCTCAACCTGCTGTATACCCTACTGTTCACGGCTTCCCACTAGAACTCCAGGTTAACTGCCCGAATAGGGCCAGTCGCTGGTGAGCATCAGATTAATTTTCAAGTATTGGTTTTTGTAAGGATTTTGTTTGATTACATGGAGGACTTCATCATGAGCTGACATCAGTTAGAGAACCACTGGAAAACCTGGAAGTGTGGTGAGAGCTGTCTACTAGCCAAATTGGTAGACAGTAATTTGCGTCAATATTTACGTTCCCAAGATTTGTCGTGAGAAAATGTGAACAAAGATTGATTCAAAACCGACCACAGCAGACTTTGCGTAGGCGGATGCAGTTAACATATAGATGATTTGACATTCAAGAAACAGTTACAAATAGATGAAAGATTAACTGTACGTGAGAAACAACCAATCGGAAGACTGTGTTTGTTTGCTTAAATATCCATAGTAATGTACATGAAAATATATAAATATGCGTTGATTTCCTTAATAAATGATCTGTTGCCTGACTCTTGCCTTCTGTCGTTACAGTAGTACTGGACAGCTGTCTCGTCCTACTTCGAGACTCAATGGTCTACGAGTTAGCTCTCCTTGTAACCGGAACGTCTCGGGTTCGAACCCCGGTGGGTGCGTACTGCTGAAGAGTCCCAAACTAGGCTGACGAAACAGCTGTCCAGTACTCCCAGATTTTCCAGTAGTTCTCCAACTGATGTCAGTTCATGATGAAATCCTCCAACCAATCAATCAAACAGAATCCCTACAAAAACCAATACTTGAAAATTAAATTCATTTAACCCTTTAAAAAAAAAACAACTTACACGATGCATTGTACTCAATGCATATAATGATGTTATAATAATAATGAGATCATTGACAAAGATGAATAGAATCCATGGTCGTACAAATTCCCAGAATACACCATTCAATTGTATACCAAACCAATGTTTGAAAAATCTCACTGTCTCCTGTATAACAGAAAGAAAGAAATTCACATATATAGACAGATAGATACATGCAGAGATATGCAAAATCAATAAAAGTGGAATTTAAAAATATTTTTTTCCTCAAGTCTGATCAGTATCTGAACTAACAGTATCAGTTGGAGAACACCACTGCAAATTGTCAGGGAGTACTGGGTATCTGTTTCATCGCCTCTGTTCGGGACTCTTGAACAGCAGGCAGCAACGACCCTACCGGTGATCAACAAAGGACTTTCTGGTTGCCACATCAATTTCATTGACGAAATTCAAAGTGAAGCATATACTGAATAAATTCAGGGAAGAAAATTGTCTTTATCGAGGAAATCATCTCATCAGAGGCTGTACAGTCAAACCTGCATCCCGCAGTGATGCATGTACATCCAGATGATGAGTCCCAAATAGGACGAAATGCACATCCTGGATTGCACCGCTAGTAACCATCCAGCAAATAACTTCTAATTACATGCCCAGACATCATCGAAGCATATGCACAAGAAGCCGATACGTCAACCTGAGACCGAGCACTTCGGTCCAATCAATCAACGGGATAAAGGTAAATCCATTCATAGCTCTATCCTATGTTATCTCGTAGATACAGCGAATACAAGATTGATGTTAACAAGGCAGCTTTCAAAGTCATCTACCGCATACCAACTAATCTTAACTTTACCTTAAGAGTTCGTCCACTACATATTGCTGATGCTGGCTGTTGGGATCCACATTAAGAAGCCTAACTTATGTATGTATCCAAAAGATGTTGGCTCAAACACTGTCCTTACCCCACTGGCCATCTAGATTTTAATGATCTTCAATTTGTTATGGAAATTTCCTTAATTTTATTTGATAGTCTATTTGCTATTGCATTTTTATACTTCTAATTATAATTTATGCATCTTTCGTGAACTGTCTGATCTTACTTCACAAATCGATAGTATTTAAGAACACCAATATTGTTAATAACGACAACTCCAGAATATTCTATGGTACAGTGGTTAGGACTCTCGCCGACCATGCACATGGTCCGGGGTTCGATCCCCTGCCGACGCACACCTGATATCTATGGTCGGCCTGCAAAATTTGGGCTACAGATATCCATGCTGAAAATTCCATACTGGAAATGAAAATACGGTGTGGCATCAAGCTGTAATCAAAATAAAAAATAAAATAAATATATATAATTGTAGAGCCAGAAGTGGAAATTATCGAAAAATTGCTCAACTGTTTTTTCCAGATATCAAAATAATAATACGGTAGGCATGAATTTATTCATTTCGTCTATAAGGCTAAGAATAACTTGAAATAAAACGTGTAATTAAAGACCATTTTTAGATTATAGACGAAAGAGATAAATCTGCTCCCACCTTATAATTATTATTATTATAAATATGCTGTTAGACCTTTTACATTAGCTGAAAGCATAGGCTAAAATAACTTGCTGTTTTTCAGAACCTAATTTTCGAACCATGTCTAATAATAATAATAATAATAATAATAATAACAGCTTTATTCCAAACAGTATTTGTGGTACAGGTATGGAATTTTCAGCGTGCATTACAATATTGCATCTAATTACCTCATAAATTTTACAAGATTTTAAAAACAAAAAGCAACAACAACAAAAAATAGATAAATAAAAAGAAATAAAAAAGAACAGCGTTGCATTCACATTTTAAACAATGCACCACAGGAATATGAAATATAAAATTAGTGTGTAATAGAAGATGTGAACAACAATATAATAGTAACAAAGAAAGGAAAACAAAAGCTAATGGGAACTATTTGTTAGAGTGCCGCAGTAAGTTGATCGTGTCATACCTAACGGATTTCTCATCACATAACAGCTGTGCCAGATAAGGTATTGTGAAGTTTTTGTACTTGGTAGTCCTAGCATATAGCCTCCTATAGCTGCTTCTAGTTCTACCAGATGAAATGCAAGGAGAGAGCTGCGTATAGAGAGGATGTTCGGGGTCTGACAATATAGTATTCGCTAGTTTCTTACATGACATTATATGTCTATCCACAATAGTGTTAACCAGTTGGTTTAACGATATCCCACTTCCCCTACTAACAGCTTTTAGTGCCCTTCTCAGCAAAGCAAAATCTTTCTTAAGTAGTCCAGGAAAGATTAATGGGGAGCAGTAAAGAGGGATGGTTAGAATACAAGAGTTGACAAACTGAGAAAGCAAAGACTGCTTTATACCAGACTGCCTTAACTTCCTAACGTAGAACGTTAAGCGAAACATCTTTCTAGTAACTAGCAAGATGTGAGAGGACCAGGAAAGATCGGAGGAAATACTCAGTCCAAGGTACTTGACATTAGATGTAGTTTCAACCTCTATGCCGTCAATGATAGTGGGGCCATGTGAGCTAGCTAGTTGCTGTAGGTCACGTTTTCGTCTGAAAGTGAAATTTACTACCTGACATTTATACGGATTTAGCTTAAGACCGTTTGAAGAGGACCGCTGACTAATTTCCGACAGAAAGTTATTTATATAAGAATAAAACTTGGGCACTGTGGTAGAATGTAATTCCATTATGGGTAAATTTTTATTTTGATAGAGTCTGACAGTGTTATACAGTAATATTTACTGATGACGTTTATGATTATGAGCAATAAATTGTGCTCGAAACGTCATCAGTAAATATTACTGTAAACACTGTGAGACTCTATCAAAATAAAAATTTACCTAATAGAAAGTTATTTAATTTGGAACAATCTGACTGAGAGTTGACAGGCATGGAAACAGAGAGGTCATCAGCATACTTGACAAAAGTGGCTACATCAGAATGGGGCAAGTCATGTAAGAAAAAAGAAAACAGAAAAGGAGAAAGAACAGCACCTTGAGGAACACCAGCTAAAGTAAGTGAGGTAGTGGAGGACTTTCTATTGTAGACGGTGTACTGCTTCCTATCAGAAAAATAGGAATGCAACCACTTATTTGTCCAGCTATCAGCCTGTGTTGCAGCAAGCTTACTTAGCAAGAGAGACCTAGGTACAGAGTCAAATGCAGATGTGTAATCAAGGAAGGCACACACACCTAACGTATTTAGCTCCTCTATCTAAACTAGAGACTATATTATGATATAGAACAACAGCGGCATCTAAGGTACACCTACTATGTTTATAAGCAAACTGGCTGGGGTCATTGAAAGGCTTTAAAGAGGGTTCAAGATTAAGTAAAATAAGTCTTTCCATAACTTTCAAAAATGGTGAGGTAATAGCAATGGGTCTAAACTTAACAGTAGGTCCACTTGTTGATTTAGGCACTGGAACAACCTTGATATTTTTCCATGAGTCAGGTATAATACTTTTGGAAAAAGATTCGTTGAAAATGTCAGTTAATGGGGAACATAAGATGTCGGCACACTTCTTAAGGATAACAGCAGAACTCCATCAGGACCAAGGGACTGAGTAGGTTTGAGACATTGAAGACACTTAAGGACATCATTCGTATTAAAACATGAGAAGCAGTCATTATTTACACTATTATAGTTAGGAATCATAACATCTGCAGGGATACATATGAAGGATTTATTAAGCATATCAACATCAACAGCAGTATCATTCATTATCTGCTTACCACCTGTGATTTCCTTTAATAACTTCCACATATTAGATGAGGATTTACATGAAAGAAACTTCTGGTTATAGAGAGCATTTAGTCTTTGTAATTCTATTGGATCAATGAGATGGTAGCACACAGAAAGACAGCAGCAGTTTACGGTAACCACCGGTCTCGATCTACACCTGTTGCCCATTGACCGATACCTGTTCTTAAAGCTGGATTTATGATTAACATTTTGCACAACCTCTCCTTTTCACGGCAAATGCTTTTAAGGGCTTTCGACTTGTGACACTAAGTGATCCATAATTCGTATTGAGCGATATCCCAAAGGGGTATCACATTATTTTCCCAGGGTATATGACTACACCGCCTTGACGATCAACACTTATCTGATAACCCCCACTACCAGTGTACTGTCTGAGGTTCCAGTAAATTTCCCCCCTTGAATTTGAACACCACTTACATTTTGGATAACCATAGGGGCACTGGCTTAGTCAATTAATTGGTAATTCAATCAGTTGTGCCACATACTGGGATCTGTATCAGGTATGCAGGTAGCATACGCCGTCATGAAAAACCATCCTCAGCTACCAAAATGTGTAAACATTTTCTATCAATGAAAAAGTCTTTGTTCTCCATTTACCTACGTTCTATTATTACATTGGTAGTAAAGATTTAAGGAGTTTAATATGGAGAAATCAGATTTAGACGAGTGGAACTACTACTGTGGTGAGAGCTGTCTGCTTGCCAAAATTGTAGACAATAATTTACATCAATGTTTACGTCCCGAATCAGGATCATGAGAAAAAAACCCATTAACAAAGCTTAACCTTGAGGAACTCAACAACCAATCACAGCCGACTTAACGTGTGCAAATACGATTGGCAGACATATGGCTTAACTTTCTAAGAAACGGTCACAAAGAGGTGACAGAATATCCTTCAGAAAGAAAACAACCAATCAGAAGAGGTTGATTCTCTGCTAACAATAACGCTATTAATAATATACATAAAAATCTCTAAATATGTGTTGATTTTCTCAATAAACGATCTGTTGTCTAACCCTTGTCTTTTGTCGTTACAATAAGACAGGCGGATTGCCACTGGCTATTCTTCGATCCTGTCAAATGGACGATGATGCTGTAGGACTGGACTTCAGTGATACTTTTAGCTTAAAGATAAGCAGTGAAGTGATTGATAAGCGTATTGACCATTTCATTTATTTGACAGGTTTCACCAACCTGACTAAGAAATCTCAGCATAGATGTTATCCGGTCGTCTATCGATCAAATGACGTATGTGTACTGTCCAGCCCTTCTCAGCGTCTTCCTTTATAACTGTTAGACATGATCATTCAAAAGTGGAAGATATGGAAAGGCTGTCAGTCTTTGACTACATATGTTTGAGTTCTATCTCCTGT